GGGGGGAGCGAAACTGCTCCCGCTGCGGCCCCTGCTCCCGCTGCGGGACCCTGGACCCAGATGGAGCCTTTTCTCGCACCCCGGGGAGGAGTCCCACAGCAGAAGGAGGCAGCCCTGGGACACCCTGGAGAGGGAAAGAGTAAGAGTATCCATGAGTGTATCCGTTCAGCGTTTGCCTTTTTTCCCCACCTGCGAAATTTTTGGCGCCACGACAAAGCTGGCCTCCGTGGCATGCGGCCCAGCCTGCCAAGTCCAGCATGCGCTGGTCCCTGTTGCTGGCCTTACTGCTCCCCATCACCATGCCGAGTGGCTGAGCCAGGTGCCAGCCCTGGAAACTGAGCCCCCAGCACCCAAACACGGAGCTGAGACCCATGGTCTCCAGCGTGGCTTTTCTCCTCTTCACCCCAGCCAGATTCAAACTTGATGGGAGTTTGTCCCTGTGGACGTGGCTTGCTTTGCTCCAATGTCACTTCCAACTCATGATGTGTATCCCAGTGTGCTATGACCAGGGACTGTGTTGCCCTGTGGTGGTACTTTGATTGGGGGACAAAAGACTGAGCAAGATCCTGCCATGGAGAGGGCAACAAGGATAGCAAGGTGGCAATCTCCAGCACAAGGAGAGGATGTTTGACAGAACAGGCACGTTTCCAAACCTCCAGCTCTCGCCACAGAGGATAAGCTGAGGAGCAATTTGCTGCAGGGGGCCAGGACGAGCTGAAGTTTAGCTGGATTTGAAATGCTGCTGGAGGAGTGCATGGAAGAGAGAAAATAGCCACTGGCCCTTGTTAAACACCGTGTCAGGTTCTGCAAGGAAGCTGTGCCAAGCTGGAGCAGGGCAGCCAGAGCCCCCGAATGCCCACTCCAAGCAGTGGTTTTGTCACTGTAGCCCATCTACAGGTTTCATTCCCAACCAGCCAGGCTGTCTCAGCCAGCAGAAACCTGCTAGCAATGACAAGAGGTGAGAGCTTGGGGTCTTTTTTCCTTCTCCTTATTCTTTTAACCTTTATTTAGAAACTAGAATGTTCACCAAATCTACAAGGTTTCTCTGTAAAAGGTCCCACAAAGTGAAGAGCAACAATGAGAGAGTTCTGCACGCAGCCCTGGCTCGCCGAGCACATGGCTAGGGTGAGCAAGAGCTGCCCGCTGCGTATAGGATAAATATACAGCCTAAGGTACTGTACCTGACATAAATTACAGAGGTGTCATTTTGCAAAGTATTTCTGAACTCACTCCCATGGAAAGGAGAGAGGGGACGGGAAAGCAAAGGAGTGTTGTGTACTGCCTAAGCCCAGAGGGCACCAAAAATGGCCTTGGGGCTCTGCCCTGTGCTGCCAGTACTTGCCCCAGGGACATGGCGCCGCTGGGTGCAGCTGGGTGCATCGTAAATCAAATTTCACAGTATCGCTGCCAGCCCCAGTACCAACGGGCTCCAAATTTGCAGCTCGTCTGAGCAGACGAGGAGCATTTGCTGAGAAGTGGTGTGGCTTGGCGTGAGAGTGCCTTTTTTTGGCTGGTTTATGCCCTTTTTTTGTTTGTTTTCTAACCTGGAGAACATACAGACTCGGAGTACATGAAATGGGCTCATTTACAAGACACGTTAAGAAAAGGAAAGGAAAAAAAGGCACTGCACAGGGGGACCTTTGAGGTAGTCGAAATTTTTTCCTTTCAATGTCTGGCACCAAGAGGGAGAGAGAGAGAGCGAGCACATGTGCCTGTGTTTTGCCGTGCATGGTCAGGGCCATGGATGTGGCTGTGCATGTCCAACCATGAGCAGGGACATCTGGGCGTGCAAGCCCTGGGCATGGGGACATCTGTGTGTGCCTGGCATCTGGCGTGCCGGTGCCCGTGCACGTTGTGGCTTTGCACATGCCTGCGGCTTTGCTCATGCCTGCAGTCAGCAGCTGGAGAGCATCCGTGGCCCTGTGCATGGCCACGTGTCTCTCTGTGTCGGGCGGGGGGTGGGTGGGTGGGTTTCCATCACGGCAGCCGGCTCCGGGGTCCCCTCAACAGCTCAGGTGGCCCTTTTTTAGTCCAAAGAAAAAGGGCCATGTCTAGTGATACCACTTCCTGTCGTGCTCCTGGGCCTCATCCCATAGAATAAACACTGCGACAACCCTATAGGAGCAGACGTGGTCTGACATACCAGCCCTCCTTCACGTTGTCCCCTGGGGCACTGCTACACGTGCTGGGGTGGGACTGTTGCTTTCCAGCCTGCCCTGGAATATTGTGCTTGCTGCAAAGCTGAGGCTGAGCCCGAAGCAGCCACGCGTGGGGTCTTTAAGGGTGGTTGTCCCCCTCCAAGACAGCCTCCCTGCAAGGAGTAGGTCTCCTTGCAGCAAGCCCCTGGGACACATGCACCGGATCTGGGGTCCCAGGTGTGGTAAGCCCCCTGGCCCACTCCAGGTGGAGCAGACCAAGTTTCTCTGCTGCTTCCTTGGCTGTGGGCAAGGGCAGCCTGCTTCATCCCTTCCCTATCCTGCCAGGAGGAACAAATACCTGAGGAATTTCAGCTGAGTGCATTCCTCTGAGCGCACGCACAGTGCAGCTGGGAGAGGGACTGGGGAGCCAAGCACAGCCCAGGCTCGTGCTGGGAGTCACTGTCATCTGGGACCATCTATGGGGGACGAAGACCCCAATTCCCTGACTGTCTGGCTGAAACCCAGCAGCCCTAATGGGGGCTCGGGACTGGCGAGGTCTGGCCTCGGAGGAGAGCGCCTTTCCCCAGCTGCACAGTGGGAACACAGAGAGGACTTTGGTGGGGCTGAACCCAATGCACACAGGTTCTATGTCATTAAAACCTGGCACGGAGGAGAAATTTAACATAACAAGTAAAATCTCCTTCCCTTTTGAGTCATGGGGCCTCACGCACTTGTAAAACTCTCAACTCCTTTGGAGTGGCTTCCCTGGATAGCCAGACCCTGAAAGTCTCCAAAAAATGCCTGTGCCACATCCCTCCCTGCCTCCCCCAACTCTGACATTCATCATGCTCTGGTGGAGGTGGTACCTAAAGCAGAGCACCAACCTCTCTGTCCTCTCTCTCCATTTTGTGCTAGATTTGTTGTTGTTTTGTGTTTTTTTTTTCTCTTCTTTTTCAGCAACCCCCAACCCAGCTGGAGATAAGTGAACCACATTACAGTACAGGAACAAACACTATCATAAACCCTGCCCAAGAGCGCAGTGTCTCTGCCCTCCTTGCCCCAGAGAGAGATGCCCTTGAAGGACTCGTGTGCCACCAGCACAGGCTCACCCCATCCCAGAGCAGAGATCAGTTGTCCTGGCCCCTCCAGTCCCAGCTCTCCAGAGAGACTTAGCTAAAGGACATTGAGTTTTCTCGAGCACGTCAAGTTACTATGGACCAAGTCCCACATTTGGAGTAACTCTGGAGGCAGCAGTTTATGAACCACCAACATACTCCGGAAAAAACACGGCTCCTTGTTCATCTTGCTGTTCTTGTTCTTCACAATGCCAAAAGTTTTGAAGCCTTCATGCCCAACAGGTGATACTTTAAGGACCTCCAAGCACATCCCCAGGAAGACGTCATCAATGGGGTACAGCTCCAGCGTCTCTGAAGTCTTGTGCAGCCTCTTGGCCAAAGGCCCACCCATGACGAAGCCTCCACCCCCTGCATAGGGTGGGTACATGCTTTTGTTGTAGAGGGCGCTGGGGATGTAGTACTTGTTCTCCTTCCTCCGGATCGGCCTAGCCTTGTAGAGAACATCTCCCACGAAGAGGTCCTCTCCCTCCTTCTTGTCCTCCAGGAACTCCAGGATGTTGCTGGGACTCACAAACACATCGTCGTCACCTTTGAAGATGAAGCTGATGTTGTCACAGTAGATGTTCAGCCACTTCAAGAAATGGACCTCTTTGAGGGTGAGGTTGAAGAAGCTGTCCAGGAAATCCCACTGCAAGATATCCCCATAGATGTAGTTCTCATAATCCAGCAGTTTCTGGTAGTTGGCTCTCTCTTCCTCCTTGGAGGCCGTGCCCAGCAAGAACAGCGTCCTGATCCTCTTGCCATCCACCTCCTTCTCCTGGCCCCAGGTCCTCCGGATGGCCTCGCGACGGTCATGCTGTGTGATGATAGACTTGACCACAATGAGCAGGTAGACATCCTCGCTGCATTTCTCCGGGTGGTTGATCAGTATGGGGAAGTAGCGGCAGTGCCGATAGAGCAGGAACTGCTGGAAGTTGGGCTCCAGCCCTTTGAACCAGTCCGCCTTGCTCAAGTTCTGGTTGGCCGAGCAGTTGGTAGTGGTGACATCCCAGGATTTCCCTTGCTTTGCCATCACTCTCTCCTCCTCCTTCAGAGGGATTTTCTCCTTCCTATTCTTCCAGAAGGTGCTGGTGATGGAGAAGGCGTTGTCTCTCTTTTGTGTTTTCAGGGACTCTGGAGGGGGCAGCTCTTTCTGCTGCTGGCCCTGCATGAACTGGCTGGGGGCCATTCCCCTTTGCAGCACTGTCACTGTGACCACCAGCAAGAAGGAGAGGCAAACTGTTTTGTAGATGGTCTTCTTCCTAAGGGGATGAGACAGGGACATTAAGGAGAGGAAACTGCAGGCTACAAGACGCTTATCTGCAAAAGCACATCCTGGAGAGGATATGGGATGCTCGTAATGTGTCCCATCGCCTTTTGACAGGCAGCAGCCTTGTGGGAAGAGCTGTAGGACACCTCCACGCATGGTCTTCCCACCCACATCCCACTTGTGGGGCAGCTCTGGGGCCACAGTTAACTGCAGGGTTAGGCATAAAACATGTGGCAGGTGGTCATGGTGTCATCAGGTAACCCCATATCTGCACAAAGAACTGGAAAGGGTTCAAGGGAAAGAAAAAAATGGGTCGAGTGAGAGACATGAAGCCAGGATGAGAGCTTCAGCAAAGCAGCTGTTTCGGAGGAAAGTCCGAAGGGAGCCCCCTGTTTCAGCCATCTGAAAATTGTAGTTTAGGACGAGAACAGAAGGAAATTATCGTTTCCACAGAAGTGTCAGCTCTGCTCTGGCATCACAGGTTACATAACACTGAGACGCCGGAGCCAGGAAGACCATGGGAGTAGACACGAAATAGGCATCGCGTTTTCATTTCAAAATAGCAGGTCAGGACAAAAAAATTGGCATTTGAGATGAACTTCACTGTTCAGTGGGGAAAAGACATCCCTAACCCTGTATCTGCGTCAGGAACTAGCATTCCTGGAGGCACTGCTGGGCATTTTTTGGCCAGTTCTCGGGAGCCATTGCTTCACTTTGCAGTGATAAGGACGGTGGATGCACCGCTGGGGATTTGCACCACTGCCAGATCTCAAGCTTGGAAACAGATTTCTCCCAGCCTGCAGCAAACGGATATCTGCATGTCCAGGGTGTGCAGGGGACTGAGGGTGGTAGATCAAACCCAGTACCTCGTGAGGCCATCCCACCCTGTTGCTGCAGACCCATTGCCCAGGAAAGCCACTGGCTCCTGAGACAAATCTAGAGCTTGGCATGGGCTTGAGAGAGACCCTCCTATGTTCCTTCGGACAGCGGGATGGCTGCACTCAGATTACTGATGCACCAAATCCCCTCCAACCTGCTTTTCCACATAGTTAAAGGTGGGTTTCTCGCCCTGCTGCTGTGGTGGAGAGGAATTGCCAGCTCCGCCCATCTGCACCATGTTGCCCTGAAGTGCCCGGCTCCCCTCCACAGCTGGCACATCTGCACCAATTTCCTCCCGCCACAGTCCTGCATGCTCCAGATGCCTCGGGCCATCTCCCCGTGCAAATGAACACTGGGGCACAAGGGCGGCAGCTGGGCTCCATGTGCCCACTGGGGTCCCGATGTCTTCCCAAGGGTAGCCCTGACTCTGGCTGCTCCCGTGCAGATGGGACACACGAGTGCTCGGCAGCCCCTTTGCCTGCTGGTGGGTGAAGGAGACCTCAGCTGGGGGAGACAGATGTTACACCGGTCTCACGGCTCCCCTGCACCCATCCTCTTGGTGACAGAAGCGTGTCCTAGCTCAGGTGCCACTCATCAGGGACAGCCCCTTGGCCTCCCGCTCCCTGTTAGAGCCAGAAAGATCCAAGATCACCTCTACCAGGCAGATGGCACCTTCACTTTGGGATAGTCCAGAGGAGGAGCTTGGGGCAGAAATCTGAAACATTTAACCGAAGAATTTCCATATAGCCAAAAAAAAAAGCCTTGAAACTCTTCTGGCCCTGGGGCCAGATTGTGTTCAGTGCTGCTGGGAAGCTGCTGGGGTTTTGGGGCACAGGGTGCACCAAAACACCTACTTGATGAGACACCCCAATGTCCCTTGGGCTCCCCAAGGCAGGGGACAGCATTGTTCTTTGGGCCAACCTGAAACGCAGGAGCCCCAAATGGTAATGGGGGGAACCAGGAGCTTTTGGGAGCTCCTGTCTCCAGCTTCACCCTCAAGTACAAAGAACTTTTCAGCCCTGTGTTTATGTGGGAAAACTGTGATCGCTAGTGTGGACTGTGAGAGTGAGTGTGGAAGTGGAAATAAGTAATTACTGGTAAATGGATAGGTATTCCCCGACCAGTTTTATATGTGGCCACTCACCTGCGACTGATGAGGGTGCAGTTCTGATTAGATCTCACCAGTCCCTTAACCCTCTCCAGGCCTGGCCACACAGCTCTGAGATTGTTTTTAGAAACCCTTCAGTTTGATACAGTGGCAATTTCAACCCCTGGAGAGCCCAGCAACATTTAAAACCTCTCATTGATACCTGGCACCTCAGCAGAAATAAACCCAGTCACCCCTGTATAGAAAGTCCAATTGCTCCGATCCCATCCCGACACCCTAGCCTTGCTTCCACCCCAGCTCAGCCCACCCCGACCCATCCCATCCTTGTGCTCCTCACCACCTCAAAGCCGACAAGTGATACCATACTCAGCCTGAAGGATGGCCAGAAGTTCCCTAGAATACATGGGCAGGGAATTATTGATATAATTTTAAAAAACTTGCATAGGCAGGGCTGTTGCTAACCAGCAGGGATGGGTCCCATATTTGGCAGGCTCTGCCTGATATGGACGGGAGCCACATGGAGCTGCTCGCCCCTGTTGCCCTCCTTGGGTCACTGCTTTTTATTTCAGCCCAGGCAGAAGACACTGTCCCAGGGGTGAGGGGAGAGCTTCATCTTTAGTGAAAGGGGGAGGGTTGGGTAGGGTACATCTGAGTATATCGGTGAGGTGTTGTGCATCAGCCACTTTCCTTCAGCGGACACCGTTTCCCAGCTCTCACCAGTGCAATGTGCGATTTTTGCTTTTTTACAAAAAAAAACTATGTGGAATTTTTTCTGTAGGTCTGACTCTGCAAACCCTGGGGGCAGCATCGTGTCCGACAGGAGCGAGAGCCCTGTGGCTGCCTCCTGCCCTGCAGAAACCCTGTTGTTCTGCAGGCGGGGAAGTGATGGGGTCTGGGGGGACCCTGAGCCACAACAGCCTGCAGTTCCCGCATCAAACCAAGGATTTGGGGGCAAAAGAGTGACAATCGTGCACATCTTTTCTGCTCTGTGGTCTCCTCAGCTGGGAAATGCTTTAGCAGGGAGAAAACAGGACCTGCTCTCTGGAAGACCCTAAGAACCATCACTTTGCAGGAGGCGAGGGTGGTGCTTCAGGTTCGCTGCCATCAGAGAGAAGTAACCCTACTGAGTCCCAGCGCCCTGCTCTGGGATACAACTCCCAGCCAGTCCCCGGCAGCATCCCCAGGAGCCTGGGGCACCCGGTCTTGAGGAACCCGGAGGCAGCGCCCCCCCCGCACCCCAGCTCGGCTTCCACTGGCGCCAACTGGCACCAGTTGCCCCAACCACTAGTGTCGATGCCATTGAAAGAGCTTTGAAAATGTCCCGTCCCGCTCCTCCTCTTCTCTCTTCTCCACCAGGAAAAGCTGAAAAGCCTCCCTGTGAGACAGCCGCGCCACTGCCGGCTGTGCCCTGGAAGGATAAATATAAAACCCCCAAATTAGAGGTGGGCAGGTTCCCCTTCAGGTGGTGATGCCGTGGGGCCGGTGAGGCCCCGGGAGACTGGAGCTCTCCATCCCTGGAGATGCACACAGCCGCTTTTTGATCCACATAAAACCCTCTTTGATCGGTCAGGGCTATCTATTTATTTGGATTTTTCTGGCCCCTCAATTAGAACCAGTCACCGAGCCGGCGGAGGCACAGCCGGCATAGAGCCCTTTCTGTTGACGGTGCCAAGGGCTTGGGAGAGGAGATCCCACCTAGGAGCACATGCTGGGCATAAAGCACCCAAATGTCTCCAAAAGCGGCTTGTGCCAGCTGGGTGCAAGGCCCAGCGGGGTCCCAGCTCACGACGGTTGTCCCCAGTCCCGGGGTGTCCGAGGACACGTCCCTTTCTTATAAAAGATGTCTGGTTTAAATAGAAGGCGGTAAAAACACAGGGCTGAGGAAGAGGCAAGAGGTGAAGC